CGGATCGAGGCACGCAATTTACATTGCATTTTTGGATAGCATTGTAGTGTGACTTTGGCACACAGGTCGAGTTTAGTACATGTATTTCATCCCCAGAAAGGCGGATAGTCCGAGCGTACAATGTCACACCTCCTTTTTCTACCCCGCAAGGGTATATAAGGGAGTTTTTTCAATTTATGTGACAATCGAAACGGGATTATTATATTTAAAATTTAGAGTCGCCACTTGGGATAATTTATGGTGTCCCAAGTCACCGGTTTTAAATCCCGAATCGAGGAAAGATTGACTTTGTTTTACAGTCCGCGAAACACAGAAATCCGGGTAAGGAATTCTGTTAACCCGGGAGAAGGTGTTAGGCATTCCCGGGTTCCGTGGTTTTAGCACGGTCGCTCAACTATTATCATTGACCTATTTATCTGATTTTAAATCATTTTTTGAAACCTATGTACATTTATCCCTTTTGGAACTGCTTTTAATAATCTGATTGTTATACAACTGATTATTTGAGTACACGTTGCGAATCATGTCATGGGAACCATACCCACAACCCACAACGTGTTTATTTTTTTAACAAGATTAAATTGTGGCCGGGTCACATAAATGTACCTTGGATTTTAGAAATTAAGCATCATAACTACGTCACGGGAACCGTATCCGTAGATATGACAATTTATTTAATTAAACACGCCTAAAGCAAACTACGAGAGTTCAAGGTATTTTCTACGCTAGTTAAGATATGGATGTGAGGGCCATAGACTAGGTGATTGGATGGCACACCTCAATTTTATTAAAGGAAAAGCATTCAACTAAGTGAACTACGGATATTCATATTTAAAACTAATTTTAGATTAAGTATCACAACCACGCCACGGGAACCATACCCGTAGTTGTGATGATTTAATTACGTGCCTAAAAGTTTGCCTAAGAAAAATGATCAATGAGGGAAATTAAATTGCTAAAATGATCCAAAAAGAATTTCAAGTCCATTATCGACACAGTTACGAACTAATTGACCAAAAAATGATCAACCATTTTCTACTATATTTAAACAACAAATGAGCTAAACTGAAATAATTCCCAGTCAATAGAACTAAAGATTCAGTTAAACTCAACAAAAAGAAACGAAATTGAAGTGAATTAGTATATTATGATATTAGCAAAAGACAAGAAAAGAAACGAAAAAGCTTACAGTAGAGGTGTGATTGCTTGAAGAAGTAAGACTCTGTTTCGTAGGGTGTGTGTATTGCAACAAATGAAAATCAACACTTCACCAAACAGCTCTCTCTCTAACAGAGCCTCGCGCAGGCGGAAGGAACGATGATATCACGGCAATTCGAGAGATGACAAATCAAACGAATCTGAGATTCTTAGAGTTCGAGCTTGTTGGAATTTTGACGGGAGAAGAAGAAGCAATGGCGGAGAAGGCGTGGAGAAGAAGCAACGATGGGGAGTTCTCTCGTTTTGGCACAAACGACTGCTTTGAAGAAGAAGACAGCCCTGAAGATTTTTTGGTTGTATATCAAAATCAGAAGAAACGGCTCCTAGATCTAGGGTTCCACCATCTTTGTTGTGTTTCTAGGTCTTTTTTGTTCTAAAGAAGAAGAAGAGCAACGGCTGATGTCTTAGGGATCTAGGGGTCTCTAGGTTAGCTGTTGTATTTCCTCCTTAGGCGTTAGGTTCTTCTTCATGAAGAAGATGACATTTAGGGTCCCTCCATTCAAATCAGAAACAGCTCCAAGGTCTAGCTGCTGTGTCCTTTTGAAATGCTTCCGTTTTGGGTTTAGCTTTAGCTCTCCTTCACGTTTTTTTTCTTTTGTGTCTGGTATGTGTGCTTTTAGAAGAAAGGGTCTGTTGGTTTTCTCTTCATCGAGAAGATGAAGAAAGTCTGATGGGGAGGGGGGTATCTCTCAATCCTAAAACGGCGGATCCTATTATTTAGGGTGTATAGGTCTAGGTCTAGGGTTATTTAAGGGTAAAGGGTTATTTTAGGTTTTAAAATCTGATGGGCTAAAGTATTGGGCTTTAAAACTTGGGCCTTTATTACCAAATTTGCTTAAAATTGGCTTAATTAACCAAGAATCTATCCACCCTACATTAACTCTTGCCTATAAAATAAAAAATAAAGATAAAAATACTACCAAAGTATTAATTAGCCCTATTTAAGTAGAAATAACTATTAAAATAAAACTAACCATTAAAACAAACCTATTTTTTGTAATTTTTTTATGGCAAAATAAAGTAAAGGAGTCAAAATTAGTTGAAATAGCGATATTAGGTCTAAACTAAATATTTACATGCTAAAATATATAAAATATTGGGGAGGGTCAAAAATCAAATGTCTACAGCTGCCCCTCTTTGACTGGGAACGCGAAAAGTTTTCAGACAAATAACGACTATACAGGTTTTTTGACCCGACCCTTATTTATGGAGACCAAAAACTAAGAGGAAGGGGAATGTGACCGAGCCCTGGTATCTGAGCTGCCTACATATCCTTGGTGATAAAGGAATCAGGCCACGTGTAGTTCAAAATTAGGAGCAGTGATGGAGTATACTGAGATGGAGAGATGGTCGAGGTGCCGTTCTGTCAGGTTCGTCGCGGTCTATATTACATCAAATCAAAAAATTGAAAAGACTAACTAAGCCTGNATCTATAAGTCTTATGAAGCTTGATCTTGAGTCTTGAGTGGTTCTTCATGCAGACTTTAGATTTGAACCTTGACGCTTGCTAGCTGCAGGTGCTAGTTCATTCTTCTTCAGCTTTTTCGGATCAAGACCGGACATGCAGTGCTTGTGAACTCAGCCATGTCTTGAGCAGCTCACATCTTTCATCTACTTCTGCATTTGGATTCACTTCGTGCTTTTTTTTTTTTTTTTTGGATTGTGACTAACTTCTGTTGATCATCTCGGACTGTTGACTCGCATTCTTGCCGCGAGCTTCTGCTACTTCTAACTTGAATTGGATTCTGAAATGACTTCCCTTGTTCTCCAGGTGGGCGCCTAATTGCTAAAACTTGAATTGTATTCCCTTGTTCTCCAGGTGGGCGCCTGATTGCCATAAACTTGAACTGTATTCCCCTGTTCTCCCAGTGGGTGCCTGATTGCCAAAACTTGAACTGTATTCCCTTGTTCTCCAGGTGGGTGCCTGATTGCCAAAACTTGAACTGTATTCCCTTGTTCTCCAGGTGGGCGCCTGATTGCAAAAACTTGAACTGTATTCCCTTGTTCTCCAGGTGGGCGCCTGATTGCCAAAACTTGAACTGTATTCCCTTATTTTCAAGGTGGGTGCCTGATTGCCAAAACTCGAACTGTATTCCCTTGTTTTCCAGGTGGGTGCCTGATTGCCAAAAACTTGAACTGTATTCCCTTGTTCTCCTGGTGGGCGCCTGATTGCCAAAACTTGAACTGCATTCTCTTGTTCTCCAGGTGGGCGCATGATTTCCAAAAACTTGAACTGTATTTCCTTGTTATCCAGGTGGGCTCCTGATTGCCAAAACTCGAAATGCATTCCCTTGTTATCTAGGTGGGCGCCTGATTGCCAACACTTGAACTGTATTCCCTTGTTCTCCAAGTGGGCGCCTGATTGCCAAAACTTGAACTGTATTTCCTTGTTATCCAGGTGGGTGCCTGCAATCAAAACAACAAAACAAACAAAATTTTCTGCCCCAGTTTGCACTAGGAAGATTTGTGAGTTGTTAGCAAAACTGTAAACCACTTATGCTATCGATGCAATGATGAGAGTAAACTAAAGACTCGACTAGGATGTGTGTCTCCTGTGAATAAAGCCAAGAAACTTTGACTAGCAAATGTGTCTGCTAAAAATAAAACCTGAATGACCCAGATTAGGAAGTGCGTATCCTACGGGTGAAACTTGAATGAACCAAACTAGGAAGTGCGTCTCCTAAGGATAAAACTCGAATTAATCAAACTAGGAAGTGTGTCTCCTAGGGAGAAAACTTGAATGAACCAAACTAGGAAGTGCATTTCCTAAGGATAAAACTCGAATTAATCAAACTAGGAAGTGCGTCTCCTAGGGGTGAAACTTCAATGACTCAAACTAGGAAGTGCGTCTCCTAGGGGTATAGTCTCAGTTTAGGAAGTGCGTCTCCTAAAAGTATATCCTGAAAGACCCATACTAGGAAGTGCATCTCCCATGGGTGAAACTTCAATGACACAAACTAGGAAGTGCGTCTCCTAGGAATGAATTTAAATGACGAAAGCTAGGAAGTGCGTCTCCTAACAAGTATAATCTGAAAGACCCCTACTAGGAAGTGCGTCTCCTAACGGGTAAAACTTTAATGATTCAAACCAGGAAGTGCGTCTCCTAGGGAAAAACTCAATGTAGGAAGTGCGTCTCCTAAAACAAAACATAACTTGAAAGACCCAGGCTAGGAAGTGCGTCTCCTAAGGGTGAAACTTCAATGACTCAAACTAGGAAGTGCACTACTAAAAAACAGTAAATTTGTGACCGTCAAATCAGTCGCAAATCAGTTGAAAATCGTATTTTTAGACCGATTTGCGACGGATTCAATCGCAAATTGAAAAATGTGGGGACATTTGAAATTAAGCAATTTGCGATCGAATCAGTCACAAATTTAGCGACTGATTCCATCGCTGACCAGAGTTAAAAAAATAAATATAAATAAAAAGTTTCGATTGATTCCGTCGAAAAATTAAAAATAAAATTATTTTTAATTAATTATTCTGATTGAAATAGTCGTAAATATTGATTATTAATTAATTAAAAATATCGAAAATTCTCCATTTGCGATTAATTCAGTCGCAAAAATTAATTAAATATTGTTAGAAATTTTCAGTTTGCGACTGAATCAGTCACAAATCTGGATAATTCCTAGTGACATTTGTGTTGGATTCAGTCGCAAATCTTGGCATTTTTAGGCAGAATCCTACTGTATTTCTAATTACCCACCTGCCAAATAAAACAGCCAACCAAACACCTAACAATTAACCAAAAACCTAATATAACAATCCAAAATTCAATATTTACCACAAAGCGAACAATAATATTTATAACAATTTAACCAACTAATGAAACAACGAACTATCAAACAACATAAATTAAACATGTCTCTAACTTCAACTCTAAAACATTCAAATAGCCTATTCAGATTCAATCTCCTCCTCAGACTCAGACTCCATTGCAGCTCTTTTCTTGCTTTTCTTTTTTAATACTTTTTGGATCAAAGCCTGAGTTTCTTGAAGTTCTTGCAACATTTGATCCACTTTTTGACGCATAGCTTCAATGTCTTCTTGGGAAACTGATGCCCCAGTGAATAATGTTGTTGGTAGGCGACTGGAGGATGGCTATACTCCAATCCTGTAGACTCGACCTTTATTTTATTATTTTCACGAGAAATAAAGAAAAGAAAGTAAAAGAAGTAAGAAAACAAACAAGCAACTTTCAAATTAATACCAAAATAGATAGTTACATAATATTTATACCTTTATTCACGCCACCAGCCGCTTGTGTCCAAATTGCAGTCATATCCTCTGGGCTCGGCTGAGTCCCTTCAGGCTGAGTTTGTTGCCATGCATCAAGATCAATATGATACTTGTCCCGAAATAAAAATAATACACGTTATATAAATAAAATAAACCAAGAAGGAAAAATAATATAGTGTTGGTGTTTGGATTATACAAATGTCTCTAAAGCACGCGGTTCGCTCCATCCTTCTCTTGTGCCATCCTTCTTCTTCTTCTTGTGAGTCTCTGCAAAGACCTCAGCATAAGTCACATCTCCCCCATGTTCCTTTTCCTGAAAATTAAGAATTAATTAAAAATATAACTATTTTGGTATATATGTTCAATTTGCATGCTTGTAAAACTAAGAATATTTTATAGTGAAATTACCATTCTCCAACGATGGGCTGCAAAACTAATAGAACCTCCAGTATGCAATGCTCCACCTTAGTAGAAGCTCTGTTATACTTTGCTTGTTCACTCTTCTTCTTCTACTCAGGGGTATTCCACTTCGCCAAGAGCTGATTCCAGACATCTTCACGTATCCAATTAGGCTTTTTGCCACCTTTCCTAGCAACATGATGTGAATTTATTATCAGCTTCTGTGCTTTCTTCTCGAAGTTATCATGCACCAGATTTTCAAGTGTTGTCTGCCATACGCACTAAACCTGCAAAATTGAATAAATAATATTAGACGAGTGAGAAGTATTAATAAAAATTAATTTATCTTACCTTAAATTGTTGCCACATATTCATTCTGATCTGGTATGGTATCTGTCTCCAAAAATTCCAAGGCTCGTTAAAAAAAGGCTTCATAGATTCCATCACCATATGCGCGGTCTGAAAGGATGGCAAAAACCTACATTTAATTTTAACATATAAAATGTCATTAAATTCATTATATGCAAAATTTTATTGAATGTTTTTAAAAGGAAATTGAATAAAAACTCACCCGTCGTCACGGGGAACGATAATCAGCCGATGAAGATAATCATACTGTACAGTCCCTCCTGTACAATTTCTCACAGTACCAGCAACTGTAGACGTACTGGTAGATGGGGACGCAGCTGCGTGAGAGCCTCCAATATCCAAGTTAGATATACTTGGAGTGGATGATGCTGGAGATGATAATTGAGTGGGCGATGTATGAGGCACAAAAGATGAACCGCCATGCTGGCTACTATGATGGCTCGGGGATGCAATCGGTGGTGAGCCGCCAATCTGACTAGCAGGACCACGCGGGGAAGAAGCTGGGAAATGAGGCGTGGGTATGAAATTGATGGTGGTCGAAGCTGAGCCACCATGAGAAGGAATGAAGTAATACTGAAGCGAGCTAGACGGGGGAGGGACTTTGAAAAAGTCAGATGACTGTGAAGCTGGCTTGGGAGGACGAGGAATAATAGGAAGAGGGCTCATATTTGGTGTAGGTGGAGGAAGCTGACTTGATCTAGGTAAAGTGTGCTTCTTCTTCTTAGATTTTTTTATTTTTTTACCGCGAGAATCCATCTGTGTAATAAATTTGGAAGCGATAATAAGCTTAACTTCTTAAGTTGAATCGGTAGGAGAATTCGGAATGATAAATATGTGATTTTACATTTATTGCTAATTTCACCAACCAAAACAGAAGCTGTGTGATACTTCAGTATTGTAATGAGCTATACTTTCAGAGCGTCTAATAACTAATGGACTTCTACAATCTTTAAGTCAGAAGGAAGGAGAAAGACAGTTGGTAATTGTTCACCTAATGTTTAGCTTAATTTATTTGCACCAAATCTTAGTCTCGAACTTCAAAAGCAAGAAGAGAACTGTTGATGAGAGAACCTAACAAAATGAGAATAAAAACAGTGTTTAATGATTGCATAGGAGATGCTAACTAGAGATGACAAGTCCAGCAATGCTAGTTGAGTTTTATTTGTTCCTATGAGTTAAGCATGTAAAATTCAGTGATTTTTCAGAGAAGCTAAATGAGATCAATACTTTTACGGGCAAAACATGTCTTCTACCTGATAAAAGAAGCTAGTATACCATTAGGGCAACTCCACAATTAGCACAGATCAGTACTGTTAAATGGTTTAAGAGGCATGATGATGGAATTTCGATATTCAATATCATTCAGTATTCGGAACTCGTCTGTTCTAACCAAGTCAATTTTGCATCGTGTGGGACAAACTAAAGTAGCCAAGGGGATTCAGTAAACGATCAGGATATACATGAAAAAAAGAGAGGCCAAAGAGTGAAAAATATTGATGTCAAGTAAATAAGGAAGAGAACACCTGAACTTGTCCTAACATAAAGGTTCAACTCTCAACCAATCAGACCACCTGAACTTGGTAATTGTTCTCCATTTTCCTACTAATCCAACGTATATTTAGAAATCAGACCACCATATGTTACCCACGTAAAGGTTCAACTATCAACCAAGCAGGATGATGAGTAATATTTCCCTTAATTTATAAAAGAACCAGAAATCAGCTAGGCCAATTCTAATTGCAACTTCGAAAATCCCACAAACTTACTTTATATGACGACACTATGATAAGACGAATGAAATTACTAGTTTATATCGATAGGAAGATTTGTATTCTTTGTTCATACTAGCAAAACATCTTCCTTGTAGTTCTTAAAACATTCTTTGTAAGCCAAGTAAATGTTTTCGTCATCACTACAATTTTCCTTGTAGTTCTTAAAACATCAAATTGATAGTCATAGTTAGTAGAGGAAAAGAGCTGTTGACTGCTGGGACAGTGTAGTCGATCTGCCACTTAACATAGTAGAATCTTCACTTTGTGTCTGTTATCTAAAGGCAACACAAACTTAACTGGAAAGTCTGTAATTCTTTCATCAATTAAATAGACCGTCTACAGATTGGATACCCATAATTCATATAGGTAACCCAACTAATTTAGGATTGAGCATAGTTGATTCATTTATACGACCATACAGTTTTTGTACTGCCAACAAAAGCTACTAATAGGAAATATAGCATCTATCCTTATCAAATGCAATCTAAATTCACATGAAGCGGCAACATATATATGAAACTAAAAGGAATTTGATTTTTTCAAAGAAGTGACTGAAAATTTCTTACAGAAGCCATGGACAAATTCTTCTGATAATTGACTTGATACAGACAACCTTCAAAAACAGCTTGAATGTTGTTCCTACCTACAGAAAAACAAGGAAAAATCTATAGCTGAAACCCAGAAGTCAAGCAAACAACAGAGCGCGCGCACCTAAAAGAAAAATCAGAAACAAAATAGAGAAAAAAAGAAAGAACAAAGACACACACACACTCTGAAACACACATAGACAAAATCAAACAGAAAAAATAAAACGAGAGTTAGAAATTAGGAACCTGAAATGAAGCAAAGACAGAAGCATTAACCCTAGAAAATGGGAGAAGAAAGGGAAATGCGAATGAATCGACTGATTGGAGGGAAAGTTAGGGATTTGGTAAGGATTGCTAATTTAAAATTTGTTGTGATTTGTTAATGACCCGCCAAAACGTTTGGACTTTCTTGTGGGGGCTGGGGGGGTCTGGAAGCAAAAAGAAAGAATGAAAAGAGAACAAGAAAGAAATTGGCGTGGGGCTAGGGTTTTAAAAAAAATCTGCGACTGATTCCGTCGCAAAACTAGCGGCCATTTCAGTCGCAGTTTTAAAAAAATAATTTGACCAAAGTTTAAAAAAAATTTGCGACCAAAACGGACACAAATGGTCAAATAAAATTATTTGACTTTTAGTTTCCGACTGAATCCATCGCAATAATTTATCCCGGATTTTTGCGCGAACCGGTGCGACCAATGTTGTCGGAAAAATAGTCAAAAATTAAAAAAGATATAAAAAATATTATTTTTGAAAATTCCGACCGAATCAGTCACATCTTTCGGTCACAAATATTTAGTCGAAAATCAGCTATTTTTTAGTAGTGGTGCGTCTCCTAGGGGTAAACTCTTAATTTAGGAAGTGCGTCTCCTAAAAGTATATCCTGAAGAACCTAGACTAGGAAGTGTCCTAGGGGTGAAACTTAATTTAGGAAGTGCGTCTCCTAAAACAAAATATAACCTGAAAGACCTATGCTAGGAAGTGCATCTCCTAAGGGTGAAACCTCAATTTAGGAAGGGCATCTCCTACAACAAAATATAACTTGAAAACCCAGACTAGGAAGTGTTTCTCCTAGTGGTAAAACCTCAGTGACTCAAACTCATATGATCCAAACTAGGAAGTGCGTCTCCTAGGGGTAAAATCTCAATTTAGGAAGTGCATCTCCTACAACAGAATATAACTTGAAAACCCTGACTAGGAAGTGTTTCTCCTAGGGGTGATGTGTGATCTTTTCAATTGCCTTTGCATAAGCAGAATTGGGGCATTACACCTGAAAAACTCAAGCTTCCAAGCTTTGATATGAACATAGCTTCCGTCCCTGTTTCAGACAAAGAAAACTCGTGAGTTTAAACATGGTGGTTGGTTTGTGGCCTTGACTTTGCAGGCGATTGCTCCTTCACTTGCCATGATAACCTTGATTTCAACTTGAAAGACCTTGCCTGTTTATTGACTAACCACTTCCTCTGTCACCCTTATCACAGAAAATACCTCTGATCTGTTCAAACCCAATACCCTTTTATCTGTTGCATTGCTCATGAATTGACCTATACCGAACCTTTGTATTTTACATGAATCCCAAAACACGTTGATTGTTGCCAACTCAGTGCTCCTACTGTTCTTTCCTAACAAATACCATTTTGATGCGCAAGACAGATTCCATTTTGCGCAATTGGAAAGCTGGTAGCAAATTTTGAAGTCATTTCTCACTTGTTTTTACCAAACAGACTCAAGAAGAGGAAGTAAACAAGACAAAAGGAACATAGTAAGGGACAATCAAAAGAGATGATACCTAACAAGAAAATTACAAAGTAGAAACTTATCAGATATGGACACCAACTCTAATGACCATGACATGCACCTTTTGATTAAGTGGCCTAATCTGTCAAGCAAGTCTAATGTTCAACTCTTGTTGTCCCTCTGAGTCGTGAAACTGGGCTTCCATGCTCCGATTATCCTATCTGATTCACGGTCCTTATTCGACTTGTAGTGCCCGAAGGGTTTTCACCATCAAGCCTCTCTCATTTTGTTCTTTCTCTCAACTTACCGTCGCCTTATGGTGCCTGTGAAGGTTTTCACCGATAATGCTCTCTCATTTTTGTTTTCCTTGTATAGAACGGAGTGTTGCTCCTGATGTGAATCATACCTCTAACTCGCTAGACTTGGCACTACACAAAGATTGATCGGAAGGTCTTTCTTTGGACCGTAATGTAGGCTTTTGGATAGGATTAGAAAGAAAGGGTATCATAAAGGCTCAAAAACAGCTTAAAAGGGCTCGAAATTACAACTTTTGGAATCAGATCTCTTACAACAACCACAACTTCTGCCCCAGTTTCTTTGCTTGGGGACTTTTGAATTTTTATTTTGATGGGACCGAACCGTGAGGCTGCCTACATATCCTTAAAAGGAATCAGGTCGAACGTAGTTCAAGACACAGGAATTGCTTTGTTTTTTTTTTTTACTTTTCTCTCCTTTTTTTTCTTTTTCTCTCTTTTTTTCTCTTCTTTTCTTTTCTTTTCTTTTCTTTTATTTTCTTTTCTTTACTCTTTTCCCATTTTTTCTTTATCTTTTTCTCTTCTCTTTTCCTCTTTCCTCTCTTTTTTTATTCTGTATCTGTATTTCTAAACTCTGCTTCTAATTCCAAAAGAGGGATATGAAAGAAAATAAATAAGGCTCTAAGGGGGCAACAAAGGATAAAGTGTTTAGATAGCAGAATAAAATGCCTTCGTCATTCCAATCTTCAAAGCATGCCAAATACAAACAACACAATTAAACAAACCAAAGAAATCATACATAATATCTTTTGACTGCATCAGAATTGATAGCCATATCCACACATTTGCCTTCTACATCTGTTAAATACAAAGCACCATTGGACAACACTCTCGTTACCACGAACGGCCCCTGCAAATTTGGGGCAAACTTGCCTTTAGCTTCAGCCTGATGCGTCATGATGCGTTTCAATACTTGTTGACCCACTTCAAATTTCCGGGGACGCACCTTCTTGTTGTATGCTCTTGCCATTCTCCTCTGATACAATTGACCATGACAAACTGCCGCCAGTTTTTTTCCGTCAATTAGACTTAATTGCTCTAAATGGGTTTTGACCCACTCATCATCATCAATTTTAGCTTCAGGAACAATCCGAAGGGATGGAATTTCAACTTCCGCGGGTATCACTGCTTCAGTACCATATACCAACAAATGAGGAGTTCCACCTACTGAAGTGCGAACAATAGTGCGGTAACCCAGCAAAGCAAAAGGCAACTTTTCATGCCATTGCCTAGAACTTTGTACCATCTTTCGAAGTATCTTCTTTATGTTCTATCTGCCCCAGTTTCACACAATTCGGGACTTAAGTGATCTCAAAATGCCTTTACTTATTTTCCTCAAATGTCCCTATCATCTTCAAAATTGTTTTATTGCTTCATGACTAAACTAACTTTTAAGACCAGGCTAAGAATTACGCGTGCATGTCATGTCACTAGAATCAGCATGAAAAGACTGTAAAAGGAAAAGAGAGCTAAACAAACTGACTAGAAATAACAGAAAACAAGCAATTGCATTAGACAGACGGTGAAAGGGTTTAAACAATAAAACAAGCAAAATACACTAGGGTTACAACCCTGGAAAAACCTAAGTAACACTAAACGAGCTATTACGACTAAACAAACTAGGCAGAATAAAAGGATAGAAGGGTTTGAGTCACAAGACAATATCTGGATTACAACCCTGAAAATAACCCGGACAACAAAACTGACAACAAAATAAACCACCAAGACTCCTCCCCTGCTAACCAAGAAAGGAGCGTCTTTCCAATTACCAAGCTCGGCATCTTAGCCACTGAGTTCCACATCAATATCACCAAGACCATTACCAATTTCAGTATCATTAACTTCAGTCATCAAGTTCCTAAGAGGATTCTCATACTCCCTATCGCCACGCATCATCCCTACAAAGTGTGCATCATCATGTGCAGGTAAAGGATTCTGCGTGATATTCTGGGTGTCACTTTCCTAGATCACAATTATCCCTTCTTGAATCATTCTTTCTATTTCCCTTTTCAAAGCACGACAATCTTCAATGCTATGACCTTGGACATTAGAGTGGTACATGCACCGTACAGTAGGATCAAAACCTTTTGCATGTGGGTCTGGAGTATAGCCGAGGAGCGGCTCAATTAGGCCAGAATGCTTTAACTTTTCAAACAAGCTTGTGTAGGACTCCTCGATTGGCGTATAACTATTTCTTTGCCTTTGTTTCCCTCCCTGCCCCTATTTTCTAGGGTTGTTGGGTGCTCGAAAATGTTGTGAAGGCAAGAATGCATTATGCGGTGCTGGCACTCACCACAGGGATTGACCCGGTGGTTGGACAGATGACCGGACATTGTTCGGAGGATAATACTGAGGTGGATTATGTAGAGCTTGGGGATAGGTTTGGGTTTGGGGTTGGGGTTGAGGCTGGGTATATTGGTGAGGCAGACCCGTCGGACCATGTCGTGATCCTGAGACAACCATGGCAACATTATCATGTTCCTTCTGACTCAGCAAGCTTCTTGTATCGTTCTGAATTGCTTGTGTTGTGGCTTTTAAAGCAGAATAGCTCATGATCTTGCTCGACTTCAGCCCATCTTCTACCATTTCTCCCTTTTTTACCACATCATTAAAAGGCTTACCCACAACCGAGATCAAATGCCCAAAGTAAGTTGGCTCTTGAGCTTGAAGAAAGTACTCGACCATCTCGTTTTCTTCCATCGGGGGATTGACTCTGGCAGCCTGCTCTCTCCATTTGAGCCCGTATTCCCTAAAGCTTTCAGTAGGCTTCTTTTCCATCTTGGTGAGGGACATGCAATCCGGGACAATTTCTATATTGTACTAAAAGTGTCGGACAAAGGCCTGAGCCATATCGTCCCATGTGTACCACCTGCTAGCGTCTTGGCGGGTGTACCACTCCAGAGCTGCCCACTTAGACTGTGACTGAAATACGCCATCAATAATTTGTCTTTCCCACCGGCGCCTCTCATCTTACTGCAGTAGCCTCTTAAATGGGCCATGGGATCTCCATGTCTGTCATACAAATCAAACTTTGGCATCTTAAACCCAGCAGGCAGTTGGATGTCAGGAAACAAGCACAGGTCTTTGTAAGACACGCTCATCTGGCTCCCTATCCCTTGCATGTTTCTTAAAGACTGCTCTAAGATTTTCACCTTCCTGGATATCTCATCTTGCTCCACTGTCTTAGCAGGCTTTTCAGTTTCACCGGGAGGCTCAAAATGAGGAGCGTGAGAGTATGGATCCGAGACCTTGAAAGATGGTTCTGGAGCACAGTGTTGGGCATCAGGGACTTTGAGCACAATCTCGTTAGAGGATCGAGAAAAAGTAGCTGGTGGAGGAGCAACAAAAGCATGAGTGGCC